GAAGCAGCCACTTAAAGGCCTGAACTAGGGCCAGCCCCCCCCCCCAGTTTATTCTTATTTTTAAAATATTTTTAAATTTTTTTTTCATATTCTGGAGGGATTTAAAGTTTAACATATCAATACTTGATGGAAAATACCTGTTCCATGTTATGTCTAAGATGTCTGATATTCAGACAGATAGTGAGGTTAAGCTCAACTGCCTAGGTTGTAGGGTAATAATAATAAGCTTCTCTTCTGAAGGGTTAATAACCTAAGTCTGCAGATCAAAAATTAGACAAAAAGAAGGGCTGCAAGGACAGCCTATATTTTTGCTCTAGCCTTTCAAGATCACTGAAGACTCAAGACATAGGAGATCCTATACTATAACATCATGCAACTCAGTTGTGTCCCAAATTTTCTGTTCAAGGAGATTATGGGGCCACAGAGAAAAATGATCGGTGATGTAGAGTGTGCCTAAGGAGAGTCACATGGAGAGAAAACATTCTCTCAGGTTTTCACAGAGAGTAAACTGGTCAAGCAATGGCCGTGACTCTTCCACATGGCTGACACTGAAAAAGGATCTACAAACTGCGGTACAGGATCTTAGGATAAATCCTGAGGGTATTTGACTGACCTTATCATACACAAAAGTTACATTTCTTGTTATATAGGTCTTGCTTTATCTTGGTCTTAACCATCCAGCAGAAAAGTATAAAAACAAAGTATGAAAAGTAAAGCCATGCTAATATGCTTAGCTGTAAAAGGCTCAAGTCAACAACTTCTGGCACTTCCAGTCTTACAGATAACCCACTACTATTATGGACTACTGGACTATATTGGAATATTCAGGTGCTGAATTCTTGCACCTACAATATTTAAATGACAACGGAATGCCCTTCTCTGACAAAACTAAACAAAAAAGGGGGTTATAAATGAATAAACATTTTGTATCCGTATATTCAAAATAGGATAGATATACAGTTGCATTCTCTTAATTCAATAAGTAGAGAGAATTGTTCTAATAGTGTTTGTGGACAAGTTATCATGTCTGCATCTTGTACAGTGAATAATTACTAAGACAACAATATGCAATGTATTAATTATTGAAACTGTGCTAGTAATTGTTTTTGAAACTGTCTCATTGCTATTTGCTTCTCAATAAAATTATTTTTAAAAAGAGAAAAAAATAAAGTAAACATAGTACTTTCCCAAAAACTAACAAAAAGAAAATTTCAACAAAGTATAAAATGTGTGGGACTAAAATACTACAATAAAATGCACAGAAGAAATAATGAAAGCCCTATTGTGGGGCATGGCTGAGCCATGGCTGAATGCAGGGTGGTGAATCCTTGGGACTGGGTCAGGGCCAGCTCACAGATGCCTGGCATTCATGTTCCTCCTTGTTAACCACAGCCCAGAAGGCTCTGAGAATGTTTCGCTTTCAGTGTTCTCAGCAAAACACTGACACCTTGAATTTTTGAGTCTGCTGTGAATTCCCCCTTTTATTATGTATAAATAGAGACAGGCTGAGCTAAGTGGTCCTTGCCTCTCCATGAGAGAGTTCAGGTCCTACCTGGTTCCAGCTTTCCTTTGATTATGTGTCTAGTTCCTCCTTCATCTCGCGTTGCCTCCTTAGCACCCCACTGACCTCAGGGGTCAAAGCACTGTATTCACTCTCAGTAACAGAAACTGTTTCTAAGCTCTTTCATTAATTATTACTAATGTTTATATGGCTTCCACTACTCAACAGCTTTTGGGATAAAGAGGATGTCCAAATAAATAACGAACTATTTACAATGAAATTTTCCAATGGAAATACCAGATATAAAGTACTATGAAGACTCACATGCACATATAAAGCTTAGCACACCTGAGAGAAAATAAAATAGGTTTAAAAAATTACATAAATAGTGCTAAAGCTCAAAGAGCTAGAAAACTGATTTAAAAAGCTCAAATTATTTGAGAGTATTCAATAAAGATGATGATGGAATTGATAAAATGGAAGTTTAAACACCCAAGAATAACCCCACAAGTTTTGTTTAATAAGATTAATAAAAGTCAGGTCTTTGACAATCTTAAGAAGAAAAAGAGAAAAAAAAACCCAAATTGAGAAAAGTTGAATAGATAAGGAGTCATACTATGAAAAAAAAAAAAAAAAATATATATATATATATATAGAGAGAGAGAGAGAGAGAGAGAGAGAGAGAGAGAGAGAAACTTTAAATGATGTGAATGACAAAAGTCAGCCCAAGGTGGCATAGTGTAACTACATAGACCAACAACCACAAGATAAGGTGACAGAGAGGTCCATACCAGTCCCTAAAAATATAACAGACTCAGGTGACTTTACAAGTAAGTTCTATAAAATTCTTTAAAAACTGATACTTTACCAAATGAACTGCTCCAGATCATGAAAAATAACAAGTTCCTCAACTAATTTGACAGTCCTAGTTTAACTTTATGCCCCAAACAGATAAAGGACTTTTATATAAAGTAAATAAACCAATGAAATGGAAAAGAAAAAAAAAAGATCAACTAAGCTCAGTTTTAATCAGAAATACAGGGACATGCAAAGAAACAAACTGTGTATTATACAAAAAACATTAAGCTTTAACCAACTATGGTTCACTGAGAAAAGCTAAACCAACATTAGGAAGCCAATCTTCAATTAACAAAATTCAAAATTTTAAACAGGAAAAGTGTTCATCACAAAAGGTGGTCAATTTTAACACACATTTTTATTAAGACTATCAGAAACTAGTAGGGCAGGCCAAATAGTTCAGTGGATTAAAGTGCCTGCAAGCAGGCATAGGGGCTGGGGGTTCTATTCACAGGCCTGTGGTGCTGGTCCTGCCCCCAAGGCATGTTGAGACAGCAATTGAGCCTGGGCGTAGTGGTGTGCTCCTGTAATCCCAGCTCTTGGGAGACTGTAAACAGGAGAATCACTGAGTCCAATCTAGTAGTGAGACCCTGAACACCCTGTAGACATTGCCCTAAAATACAGAAAAAAAGAAGCTAGTTATCACAGGGGAAAACACTTGGTAAAGTGACAATTAAAAACTAAGAGATAATTTTTTAATAATAAGATACTGGAAGCTTTGTTCTATAGGTGCAAGACAGGCATGTAAGCACACAGGGCCACTTTTCTGGTTGTTCTCAAAGTTTAGGCCAGACAGCAAACAGTAAAAGAGGCAAAACAGAGAAGAAGACAAAATTGTCTCTTACAGCAGCCTTAGTCCATGGTGCCACTATAAGATTAAAGAGAAAATATTATTGTACCAATAGCTTTCCTGGGCCAAGCAGAAAAGATAAGGTTCTGGGGGGATGCTATTACACAAATAATAATTCATAAAATTCCTGGAAAAAATACCTTTCTTTTCAAGGTTTTCTTAATAGGTCTCATCTGTTTATCTAGCTAATATATTGAAATATTTGTGGTTCTTTATGTCACTCTTCTCTTTTCTCCTTTACACTAGCAGATGAAAATGAGTTTTTCTCTGTCCTGCTTCATAGGGGCAAGGAACACAAGGCCAAGAAGGAAGCTGCTGGCAACACAACACAATACACAATCTTCCCCACTGTCCCAGGAGCACACTGAGGTGATTAAGCTACATATTAACCCTAGGCATCCAAAAAGGAACAGAGAAACTTTAAAGATGACAGAGAGGCAAGAGAGTGTGGCACTTGCTATTGAAGGGAAAGACCAGAGAGCAAAGACAGGGATGCGTGGCAAGGCCTCCCGCGGAGGACACAGGTCATACTTATGAGTGCCAGGACCTCAGCATCCAGCCTCAATAAAAGGAGACATAGAATGAAGACTCTTCATATCAAGGCTACTGTGGGGTTGGGGAAGAGCATTGTTGAGTTGATTTGGTTGTTCTTAGGGGAAAGGTCTTCATCTGTCTCCTGTGTCAGACACCAAAGGGAGTAGGCTAGCTGATGGTTAGAAACCCTGAAACTGAATTCAGCCAGGTTTAACTTCAAATCTTTGAGATGAGGATCACAAAGTACTAGGAAGAATCCTATGGGCCTGGAGACAACTTAAAGTTCCCATAACATCAGCCCTGAACCACAAAGTAAGTAGAACGATATGTACAATAGAACTCTAAA